AAGATGAGCTTTCTATATGTAGTGAATAATTGATTTTTTAGTAGCTGGGTTTGTTCATACATTAATAATGTTTTAATTGGGGGGACACCCAGAAATGCTCGCGGAACCACACAGTGCTGGATATTAGACTTGGGGCTCCTACGTGCTAAGCATGTGCTCCATTCTCTGAACCCTCTCCCTTGCCCCTGTTTTAATTGTTTGCTATGCATGCAGTACTACAAAAGGACAAACTCATGCAATTTGCTGCTACATAGATGTAATTGGAGGATAGGCTGAGTGGAGTCAGTCAGAAGGAAAGGGACAGACGCAGAATGATCTCTCTCATATGTGAGATAACAGGAGGGGCCAGAGAGATATCAAAATGGGTAGGGCAATTGCCTTGCATGCAGCCAACCCGGGTTCGATCTCCGGCATTCCCAGCAACCCATATGGTCCCTTGAGCCCGCCTGCGGTGATTCCTGTATGCAGAGCCTGGAGTTACCCTTGAGCATCACTGGGTGTGGCGCTACCCCCTTGCCCCTCTCCAAAAGATACACAGCAAAGTGGCAACAAAGGGCCAAAGGAAACACAATGGGAGAAAACCACACAAGTGAGTCTGGCAGGGAGTGTTTGAGAGTAGTATTGGGGGTCCTTGGAGGGGGAGGGAGTTGCATATACTGGTGATGGGTGTGCTGTTGGAATTTATGTACTCAGGAAACCATCCCTAACAGTATTGTAAATCACAGTACTCTCAAGCAATGAAAAAAGGATTTTAAAAAACATAAAATAAATTACTCATGGGAAGAGGCAGGCAAAGAAGCATTCATAGGCTCCATGCCACAAAATGGTTGCCAACCAGGCAAAGGCTTCTGGGAAAATGTGTGTCCTCAGGGTGGGGGCACCGGTGCTTCATCCACAGGAAGGTACCCCATAGACTCGGGGTATCAGGGAGGTGGCGGGCAGGCCAGGACAGGCCAGGAGCATCCTCCAGGGATGGTGACTTCTCAGAAATGGAGAAGCAGGAGGAATCAGACGCCAAACTTCCCAGAACAGCCAAGGACAGTGTCTCGGGGCAGGGATAGTGGCCTCTCCGGGCAACCCTGCCTGCCGTTACTGCTGTAAATAACCCTGAGTGGGAGAATTTTCCTGGGGTCTGAGGCCACCGTAAGAAGCTGCGAGTCCCCAGCACACTGGCCCTGCAGCCAGAAACCTGAGCTGACCGCTGCCCTGGGCTCCATCCATCCTGGGTCCTGCTGACACAGATCTCAGGGTCACTGCCCATCTGCTCTGACTGTTCCCTCGCTGCCCCCAGCACCAACCTGGTGCTGGGCCAATCGCTGAGCGCACCAGGTCAGGGGTGGCAGAGACAAGGAAGAAAAAAAGACAGGCCATAGAGATGGAGTCTGGGCTCTTTGGGGGAGGGGCTGGCGTTCGGATCACACCTGGCAGTGCTCAGGGCTTACTCGTGGTTCTGTGCTCCAGGGTCACTCCTGGTGGTGCTTGGGGGACCCTCTGCAGGGCAGGAGTTTGAACCGGGCTTGGCCCCATCCGAGCGCTTTACCCACTATCTTTCTCTCTTAGTCCCCAAAACTCTTTCTCTGGACCTTCAGACCAAAGTTCCCCAATGTTGGGCATTTATGCCTATTGATTCTCTCCCAGTTTCCCACTAGTGAAGGCACATTTCCCCCCTTTCTTGGAACATCAGCATAAAGAACAGGACCCACAGGATTAGACAACTTCATTTAGGGAAACACACAGGTTGTTAGCAAGTGTTTATTAGAACTTATTATGGGGACCCGGTGATAGCTGACGGGGCTGGAGTCATCCCTTGCACATGAGAGGCCCTGAGCTGGTCCCTGGTGCCACACGGTTCCCCACCACAGCACCTTTGGGCACAGGTCAGGGAAGTCATGTGGTCTTGTTAAACTCATTGTGAGGACAATATGACACAGTGTTGAAGGCCATGAAGTTTAGCCTCCAACAAACCTGTGTGCGCATGCGTGGACTGCCCCACCTCACTCTGAGTGACCTTGAACAAACTATTGAACCTGTCTGAAGCTCAGTTCCCATAGCTCTCAGGCGCAATCTCTGTCTCCCGGGACTGCGGAGAGGGCTAAAAGAGATGACGGTGGCGGAATGAAGCCCTCAGCCCTGGACAGAGGGCACCGCCAAAGCCCGGATGGCAGCACTGTCTGCTTCCCGCGCGGCACTGCTGGCATGCACTCACTGTTCCTCCAAAAAGCCTACAGGACAGCTACTCCCTGTCCGCCATGCCATGCCCATCAAAGCTGGGGACAGTGCACCAGAGCTGCCCCGGGCCCCTACTTGCCACAGCAGAACGTGAAAGGCCTCGTGAGCATCTTTCCCACCCATCCTGCTGCTCCACACATCCCACTGGTCGGACTTCTGCAGCCCCACCTGGGAGCAGTGATAACTCAGACCTGATTTTCGGAGCAAAGGCCCCAGTCCACCCTCCCTCTAAGTGGCCCTGCTGCTCCTCTGAGCAGCCTTCCAGGGGGAGAGGATGCATCCCCCTGGCTACGGCGGTTCTGACAGGAAAGGCCAGGAACAGAGGGACGGGGCTCAGGCAGATGAACCCTGCCTTTCAGGAGGCCGCTCCTGTCTGTCTCTGCCATCCTTGGCAGCGGCTCTAGACCCAGCAGGACTCTAGGGTGCAGCCCCCCACATACACACGCACTCACAGCTCGGAGTCTCTGGGTCCACAGGGCCTACTGTGCCGGGGCGCCTCTTGCGGCCTTCACTTTGCAAGCATCTCGTTTGCCTGGCTGCTGTTTCTGCACACAGTACTGACGAGGGACAAAGCACAGAGCCCAGGAGCCCCGGTGAGGATCGAAGGCACTAGACATGCTCTTCACTTTCCTCTCCAGGAGAAGGGAGGCTGACCAGCTGGCAGCGTGCGGCTCCAGTCTCGCTGGGACAGTGGGTAGGAGGATGGCGAGGCAGCTCCAAGGACAGAGAGCCCTGCAGGCCACACAGCAGCCTCTGCCCCCTGGGGCTAGGACACAGTCAACCTGGAGCACCCCCAGAGTCAACACAACCCCTCACCCTCGCCCAACTCCACAGCCCCCAGAACCCCGCTTTGATTCAGGCTTCTCAACCAGCGTGGAACTAGGTCCCTTTGCAATCCGCCCTGAGTGCTTTTAACTCCACAGGAAGCCCTGTGGCCCTCCTTGTCTCCACGCCCTGTTCACAGTCAGAACCAAGGAAGGATGGAAGGACAGGATAAGAAGCGGCCCCTTCTGAAGGCCCTTTTGGAAAAGGGGACGCACAGCACCGGGCTCCTGCAGCCCATAGGGAAGGTGCAGCCAGGGTATCCCAACTCTGGGAGGCTGCAGAGCTGAAGGGACTTGCCCAAGGTCAGCTGGCAGGCACATGGTAGAGTACTGGGCCCAGTTCTGACCACTGTCACAAGGCCTGCCCTAGCCTTGCCCCCCTGACCCCCAAGCTGATCCAGCACACCTCCCCCCTGGGTCAGAACTCAAGTACCCCCTGCCTGCAGTCAGGGCTCAGCTCTGAGCTCATCTCTGCAAAGTCAGGGGTCCCCCGCCCACCCAAGCCCTCCGAGATCAGGCCCGTGAAAGACTCCATTCAGCTCCCAAACAGCTGGCACATGACTCTGTGTGTGACTCAGGCCCAGGAAACTCACTCCAGTCAGAGCTGGTGGGCACCATCCACCTCCCACACTGACTCACCCATGCTGCTGCAGGGAGCCTGGCCTGCCACCTACTTAGTTACAGATGCTGAGGGAGAGGGGGAAGGACCAGGAGGGTCACGGCCAAGAACAACCAGGTGTGACCTCAAAACCTGTCCTGACCTGGGGGAGTGGGTCATGGGGCCACCACCCCTGAGGCCACCCTGAGGTTGGGGTAAAGGTCCTGAGCACCCCGGGGTGAGGCACACAGTGACCTTGCCACTGTTCTGCCCTTCTCCAGACACCCTGGGGTACCATCAGCACAGCCTAAGGCAAAGCTCTAAAGTTGTGTTGAGGGAAAGAAATTTTCTTCAACTAAAGCCAACACAGGATTTTCTTCGCACCTGAAGGTCCTGTAACAGGGCCAGAAGAACCTTCCTTCTCTTCCCAGACCAACCCCCATTCCCCATCCCCGTGCACCCCATCTTCACATCAGAATTGCTCCTTATGGTAGATCTGGTTAGAAATTTCCTGAGCCCCAAGGCCGGTGGAGATATTTCTTAGGAAAGGATAGCGGGATGAGATCAAATCGTGTTGTTTTTGCCGCTGTTTTTCCCCCCTCGAGCTCTTTGCTAGTAAGCCGCACGGCCCGGGGATTTCTGCGCGCCCGGAGCTCCGGCACGGCGGTCTGGGATTTCAAAGGAAACCAGCTTTCCTTCCACGGCGGCCGCGCCCCGGGGAGAGCGGCGAGCATCTCCCGGGAACGCGAAGCGCACAGGTACCAGTGCGGGGGGGCCCTCTCTCTCCGGGGACGGCACCCCGCCCGCCGCACGGTCCCCCTCCCCGCCTGTCCCTTCCAACCCGCGCAGCCCGGGAGGAGGGCGGGGACCGGGCGAGCTCCCCATCCCTTCGGCGAGGAGCGGCCCCCACGACTGGGGGTTCTGATCCGTGCGGGCGCGAGCGCTCTGCCTCTGCCAACCGCGTTGCCGTCAAGGTCACAGGCCCGGCGCGGGGCGGCTGGGACGAGGGTTCTGGGGCCGCGCCCGCCTCCCCGCGGGATTGCGCCCCGAGCGCGCCGCGCCGCGCCGGCCTCCGCCCCGCTCCTGCTCCGCGGGTGCACGCTCCCGTTACCCCCCGGAGTTCTGGGAGCCCCGAAATCCGGAGCGGGGTGCCCAGCCCCGTGCGCGCCGCGCCGCCTTCGGGGCTCGGTCGCCAGGCAACGGACGGCGGCGGGAGCGGCGGCAGGAGCCCGCGGAGGGCGCGGGGCCGGGAGGATGCCCGCGCGGCGCCGCCTCGAACCTCCGTCCCGAGGCCTCCGGGGTGGGGCGGGGCCCTCGGAAGTTGCGGGGCCGGCCTGGCGGCGACTCACCTGTCCGGTGCGGACCGTCGCGGGGACCGGCCCCTGCCCCCGGCCGAGCGGCTGCAGCCCCCGACGGTGGCGCGCGCACGGTCCGTCCCGCGGGCGGGCCCCGGGCCAGGCGCGAGGGGACCCGCGGCTGTGCGCCCGCTCTCTGCGCCTTCCGAGCGGCGGCGCCGGCCCAGCTCCTGCCCGCGGGGCGCTCAGACCTCGGCAGCGGCCCGAGAGCCGAGGGGGGCCGAGGGGCCGAGGCCGAGGGCCGCCCTCCCTGCGCCCTGGCCGCGCCGGCTCTGCGGAGCGGAACGAGCTGGGCGGAGCGCGGCGCGCGGTCCCCTCGCTTGCCGAGAGGCCACCCTGGCGGCGGGGCGCCGTGACGCAGGCTTGACTCACGCGCGGGCCCGCGTCAGTGCCCGCGCTGGGGCCGCGGGCGAAGCTCCGAGGACCGACGCAGGAGGAGGGAGGTGGGCAGGGACACGCCGAGGGGCGCCTCACCGAGCACGCGCCCACGGCCACGGGGCCAGCGCCTGGCGCCGCATCACTGGTCCGGAGAGGAAGGCAGCCACAGAGGCCTGCCCAGCCCTGGACCCCTCGTCCCCCGATCCGTCTCCTCCCCCTCTCCTTCAAGCACTCGCTCATTCCCTCCCGAGGGGCTCTCCCCCTGCCCGAGTGCTTCCACCTGCTGCCTCTGCCCTTTCCATCTGAAAGACATCAGCTCTTCCATGTCCCCCTCCACCCATGATCTCCTGCTGGAGGGGGGAGGGGGGCAGGGCCTGAGAGGGTCACAGGACTGAGGGCGGAGTGGGCCACCCCGGGCAGAACCCAGGGAGACACATACCCCGCGGGCAGTGAGGGAGGGACTCTGGAAGAGGAGACTTAGCCAGGAGGACAGAGAACACAGGACTACCCCAGATAGAAGGGGGCAGGATGACGTGGGTGTGGGGGGCAGGGGCAGGTGGGGAGGGCAGGGGCAGGAGGGGAAGTCAGGGGCAGGTGGGGAGGGTGGGGGCAGAAACTGGAGTGGTGGGGTGGGGCGCTGAGGGCAGCAGGCATGAGGGGAAGAGGTGGAGTTAGAGGAAGCTGGCACGTGTCCTCTAGGGCTGTGTGCAGAACTTAGAATGAATCCTTGCCAGTCTAGAGGACTCCAGGGGCCCCTGGGATTAGAAACTGTCATTGTGGAGAGTGGGGGTGGGGTCCAAACTAACGGCATTCCTGACATACTAGTCACTCTGACATTCCCTCCCCCCCACCTCTAACTGGCTAGTCGCCTGCAGGTTCCTAGGTCTTCTGGGTCCCAGACAAAGGACTTGATTACTCTGGCAGAGCTTGAACTTCACACCCAAATCGTCCCCCCCTTACTCCCAAGTCCCCTGGGAGGGCCACAGGGCTCATCCCAGGGGACCCTACAGGTTGAAGAGCTCTGAGCTTAGGAAACCCATCTGTTATCATGGACGCAAGGGAGTTCTCAGAGAGACATTATCTTAGACCCATAAATAAATCTTGAAAGAGATCAAAAACCGTAGTTAATCCCGGACCCCCGCATGGCCGAACAGACTAGAGAAAATCGAAGGGGGGCAGGTTGGCCTGGTGACCACCCAAGCAGAGCCCCCTCTCCCCCCCGCCCCACAGTATCTTCCACAATCAAAAACCACCACCATACCTCCGGCCTGACTCCACCATCTCAGAACAGATCTCACCAAGATATAATCTGCTGAAAATTCTGTGACTGAAATCTCCAGGTTTTCTCAGGGTCGGGATGGGCTACCCCCCCCCCACTTCCCTATACTTCCAGAAGCCTCAGGAGTCATATCCACACCCCCAAAACTTCCACCCAATTGAAAAGCTATCCAGTCTCACCGTCTCGATAAAAATACCGAATGCCTTGAACAAACACTATGACCTCCTAGCACCTGTATTGCAAACCATAATGAACAAAGGAAAAGGAGAGAGAGAGCATGAAGGAAAGTGCCTCCCATAGAGGGAGGCTGGGGCTGGGGGATGGTGGTGGGAAAACGGGAGACATTGACAGTGGGAAATGTACACTGGTGGAGGAATGGGTGCTGGATCATTGTATAAGTGAAACCCAATTATGAACAGTTTTGTAATAGTCTATCTCATAGATATCCAAGTTAAAAAAATTTTAGCTTAATCAATGGCTGAATAAGTAGCAGTACTCCTACATTTATAAAAAAGAAAAAAAAGAAAGAAAGGAAGGAAGGAAGGAAGGAAGGAAGGAAGGAAGGAAGGGAGAGCTCAGGGGCCAGAGTGATAGTACAGCAGGTAGGGCATTTGCCATGCACACGGTCAACCCAGGTTTGATCCTCATCATCCCATATGGTCCCCTAAGCACCGCCAGGAGTAATTCCTGAGTGCAGAGCCAGGAGTTACCTCTGAGCATCACCAGGTGTGGCCCCCACCAAAAACAATACAACAGAAAAAAAGAAAAGAGTTCAGAAGGGAGAAGACAAGGTAGATGGACTGCAAGAAGAATTTCACGTGGAAAAGGGCAGAAATCTGCTGAGAAGTTGAAGAGGCTGACGCTGGGAGGAAATCTTCATGGCCGCCAGGAAGGCCTCCAGGACACTGAGCTGAAGGCACTGAGTGGGACTGGGGAGGAACATCTTCCTGAACTCCACCATGGCTCAGCTCCTCTGGACCTCTAGAAAGCAGTGGTGACCACCCTTTACTCGAGGTGGAGAATTAGATCATAGAATTTCAGCACTCCCACTTATGCCTGGGGAAACTGAGGCATCAGACAGAGAGAATCTGTCCTGGTCACGCTGGAGTGAGCTGCATCCTGGCCACAAGCCCTTGTTCTTGCTCCCTCTCAATGTATCTGACCCCCAGAGGTGAGCACTTTTCTCTTCAGCTGCAGTGCTTCTGGGGAGCCATATGGTCCCCTGAGCCCTGCTAGGAGTGATCCCAAGTGCAAAACCAGGAGTAAGCCCTGAGCACTTCCAGGTGTGGCCTTCCCCCTCCACCATATACAAATAGGCCTCTAGGAGAGAACTGGAACACCCGCTTTGCATATGGTAACCCTGGATTCCATCCCTAGCAGTGTCCCCCAGCACCACGGCATGTGAATCTCCCCCACACTGTATAGGGAGAAGGACCATCCAGAAGTATTGCCAAAAAACAGAGCCAAGACTATGGAGTCAAGATGCCATGCGCCGACTCTCACCCACAGGGCTGGCCCAGGCCAGAGGACTGACACCTGTGAATGGGTGAGGCCGGCAGGTGTCCACAATGACAGTTGCCCAGATGACACTCAGAACAGCAGTGCGACACACATTGAAGGCTCCAGACCTGTAAACAACTGCTGCTGTGTGTGAATAGGAGGAGGAAAAAGATGCTGAAGATGCAGAAGATGAAGAAGACAATGACCAGGTGGTGAGGTGCAGGCCAGGAGTGGGCAGTGTCAAGCCAGAGTGCTGTGTCCTGGCTTCCTATCACTGGAACAGAACTTCTGCATCCCAGGAGGCCTCTGCAGGGCAAAGCTGATGGTCAGATGTCATCTGTTGGGCTTTGTGCCAGGTGCTCAGGAGGGAGCAGGGTGAGAAGCTCAACTGGCAAGAGGCCTCCAGGTGCCAAGTCAGGACACCGGGGTGACTGCTCCTTCTCATTTGGCTCACCGAATGCCAACCATGGCAGTTGTCCCACTTGCTCGAGTGCACTTGCTCCTGCCTCTGTGCGGGGTCTGAAGGGGGCCAGTTCTGGCACCGAAGGGTCCCACTGTCAGCCAAGAATAGTCCAGAGTAAGCCCACCATCCTCGGTGCAGTCCAAAGCCTGACAGGAGCCCCGAAGCCATCACAGAGGTGAAGGACAGAGATGAGATTCATCCAGAGTTCAGGGAAGTGAATATTTCCTAGGGCCAAGAGAAGGGGCTCTATGGCAACACCTTCTGTTCGGTCTTTCTCTGGAGAAAATAACACATTACTTTCTCCCAGGTTCTTGATATGAAAACTATCTAGAGTTTTGTTTTAGTTCAAGTTCTAAAAATGGGCTTGCTCTTCAGCCCATCTTCTCCCTTGAGCTTATATATGGTTTATCTCTACACAACTTCGCTAGCTTTTTCCTGCCTCAGGAGAATCCCAGGTGCTCTCTTGATCATGTGCTTCCTCTTTCTCTCCACTCATGTCTTTCTAAGTAAGTTTCATTCAAAAACGCTATCTTGCTTTACTTAAAAATAAATAAATAAAATTGGCTGGAGCGATAGCACAGCGGTACGGTGTTTGCCTTGCGTGCAGCCAGCCTGGCTGAGCCGGGTTTGATTCCTCCGCCCCTGTCGGAGAGCCCAGCAAGCTACCGAGAGTATCTCGCCAGCACGGCAAAGCCTGGCAAGCTACCTGTGATGTATTCGATATGCCAACACAGTAACAACAAGTCTCAAAATGGAGACGTTACTGGGCCCTCTCGAGCAAATTGATGAACAACGGGAGGACAAGTGACAGTGACAAATAAATGAAAATGGAAAGGAAAGGAAAGGAAACTGCGACGGAGCTGCTTGCTAACACCATCGCTGAAGTGACTTGAACTTTCAGAACTGAAGTCTCAGATTGAGGTAAGGTGGAAAGGGTCCACTAGCTTCCTCTGGGGAGCTGGGAAGTACTTCCCAAAGTGGGAGATACTGGCCCCCGAGACACCACTGAAAGTGGCAGGGGAGAGGGTGTGTGGTAGACTTGGGTGCAATTGGAGTGTACTTTTTGTGTGTCTGCATAGTCAAGGTAGATTTCCAGAGAGATCTGGGTGGGTGGGGGGAGTTTTTTGGTTTTATTTGTAATTCCTTAAAAGGATAAAGGGGATAGTAGGCCAAATAAGTTTGGGATCTCTGAGCTAAAGGATTGCTGTAAACAGAACACAGGCAGGGAAGAATTGGCGAGGGAATTGTCTGTGTCTTCAGTCGCATGGATCTGGGTTTGCATCCAGGTGGACCATAAAAAAGAATGCTGAGCTTCTCTGTTACATTCTCTTGTACAAGGACTTAATGGCTCCATGGTGAGTTACAACAATCTTCACTAACTTCTTCTAAGAAAACATTTTTTGATCATTCTGTTAGCAAATTTTGATAACAAGCCATACAAATAAATTATCGAGGGCCTGCTATGGGGA